TTTCTTATCTCACCCCAGCTAAACGGCTCCTAGATTTTTTTTCGTAGCACCAGCTCAGCAGGCATCAGTTTGGTGGCCCGTACGGGGAAAACCTGGACTGGATCTTCTTCAGACTGGAAACTTTCATCACGCAGGAATTTCTCATCAAGCCGGCTTTTATCTGAGATAATTCCCGCCCCGGTCTGAGAAGGCCAACTCCAAAGAACCCACGGAAGCAAGCCGGAGCATAGAGGTGAGATAAGAAAAGGCAAAATAAGGGAAAAGGTACCTGGTTTAATTAGCAGCTGCGGGAAGTTGGCAGCTGCGGGAAAGTTTGTGTTCCCGGGAGGTGGGGAACACGGGTTCCTGGAAAGTTAAATTTAAGACTTGGGCCCATATAGTCTCAGAGAGTCGCTTTCCAGGAGGCGGACGGGGTAGTCCGCCCACCCGGGTCAGAGTGGGGTTCAGTCTCGGACTGGTTTTGTTAGAAGGGACGCCTTCTGTGTGCTCTGACGCCGTGGGGGAGCCGGTAGGCTCTGGGAGTTGGTGTGACTCAAAACAATAGCAGAGAGGTTACTGGAACAGCTTGTAACCCCAAGGTAGCAAGTTCAAATCCCGGTGTGTGATCGTGGTTCATTTTCGTTTTACAAACATGGGTTGTGTGGATTCAAAGTTTGAGATCCCTAAAGAATCCCCCTTAGGCCTGGTTTTGAAACACTGGAGAACTTTAACTACTCCTCAGACAAATTTAGAGAAAGAGGAGCTGTGTAAACTGTCTGTGGATATCTGGCCGATGTTTGGGCAGTTGAGAGGATTGGCTTGGCCGGAATTTGGTTCGTTTGAGTTGGATACGGTGCTTCAGTTAATTAAGCTTCTTCATGTAGAACAGAGGTGGCAGGAAATTCCATATGTAAGGTTGTTTTTGATTTTATTAAGACGCCCTAAATTGTGGGTCAGAGCTGTAAGAATGGCGGTGCCTGAACTGGCTCCTGCTGAACGAGCAGGAGCGGGGCAGGCACGGGTCGTTGGAGGACTCCCGGGTGTAGGTCTGGCTGCACCGGGAGGGATTAGACAAATTGAGGCCCCCGGAGGAGTTAGCTCGGGGCTGGCGGGACTGAGTCCCGCCGGTGTGGCTGAAAGAATGGGAACTGTTAGTTTGGCTGAAGTAGGCACGGCGGTGCAGACAAGATCAGCTTTTGTGGAAACTGCTTCTAGCGTGGCAGAGCGGAGCGAAAGTTATGCTGCGGGGTTAAGCTCAGAGGTAACATCTAGTTTGGTTGAAAAAGGAGTAACATCAGGAGAAACTCCTGGCCCCAGCAGAGCGATCGGAGCGGAGTCTCCCCCGCCTGTCCCGGCAAGTGTGCAGGCAGCCTGTAACTTTACAGCTGCTGCTGGCAGCCTTGCCGGAGTAGATAGGGTTACCGCGGTAACAGCAGGGGTGAGCGCGGGAGGAGCAGATAGTTTTGTTGGTAACGGGACAAGAGCTGTGAAAGCTGAGAAATCAGCTTTTACTAGAGTTGCTTGTGACGTGGTAACACCAGAGAAAGTTGTTACAGATGCGGCATCTGTTGTGGAAACAGAGTAGACCAATTATGTTGATCAATGTGGCCAAGGCTGAGATGTTGTTTCTAGGAGTCCTTTTATCTCTTCTTCGCGGCTCCTCTCTTGTGGCAGCCGGTGGCAAGTTCACCATAAACCTGGATCTTAGGGAGGCGGTGGTCCTTCATCCTTGAGATGTGTCCTGCCCAACGCAGCTGTGTTCTCAGCAACATGGCCTCAATACTTGTGACTGCTGCTCGTTCTAGAACAGATGTATTCGTTACATAATCTGACCAGTGGATGTTTAGGATTGTACGGAGATAGTGTTGATGGAAGTGTTCCAGGAGTCGCACAGTACATTATTTTTAACCACTCCTTTAACACTTCCACAGGCTATTTCAGTAGGCATTTTGGCAGTTATCAGATAAAACAGAAAGATTACTGTTTTAGACTCATTCTTTAGAGATGACTAGTATTTAACACATTAGTCTGGCAGCATTTCAGCCAACAGGTCTGATTTGTTGCCCTGAAAAAACCCCAACTCTATCTCATACGTTTTTCTTCACAAAAGAAGTAAAAAGCAAAAATAACTGTAACAGAAGCATACTAAGTGTGCTGAGCTCAGCTGAATACAAACACCAATTCATTACTTTCAGGACCTCATCCAGTGTCTAAAATATAACAAACTGCTGGTTATCATCATGCCTTCACTCTTAGCCAGGACAGCTCTGTCACACAGCTCTGTCATATCAGATCCTCTCCTTTGTGCCTGGGATACCGACAAACAATAAGCTTTCACAGCATTAATCAAGAACAAGAAGGTAGAAAATGGACAACTCTAGCCTTCTCCATCCATAAGAAGCACAGAGAGAAGAATAACTGCGCTACTTCAAAATCCCAGATCCTCCTCCAGAGCTTCCACTGAAAGAGTACAAGACTGCTGTCATTGCTGCTGTGGTCTGTGGGTGAGGCTTCTTCCAACCTTCCTCCAGCCTCTTCTTACTCTGTGCTCACACAGCACAAGCACAGGAAACAGCATTAACAAGTCTGTAACCATTTATTGCCTACTCTCTTTCAGGGATGAATGAGCGTGAGCTCTGTGAGGAGGAAGGCAGAGGACTAGAGAAAACATAGGTCCAACACTACTGCAGGTACTACCTCACGTGTTACTCAGACAATGAGAAAATACCTGAAAATCAGTACTGATGCTGCCAGGAAGAGGAAACAAAGGCCTGTATCTGGTTTGCAGTTTGTCCCACCTTGCTTTTGGCAGCAGAAGCATGCCAGTACTTTGTGCCTATCCCTGATGTGCAGAGTTTTGGTTCCCATTTCTCGTCTTAGCTCCTAAAGCATTGCAAAGACTCCCTGAGTTTTCATCTGGGTTCTGGCCACTTCCTAATTTCTCCCTTTTGGCCATGTGCTTCCACAGTTGCCCACGGATGATGGCTGCCTGCCATCAGGTGGTACAGAAATAAGCTTCCCCTCTCCTCGCTTTCCTGACATAAATATGGTCAAATCCAAATAGAAATGGACAACTAGAAAAAATTTGATTGTTACGAAGCTCATTAAATGAATAGATATGTATTTCTCAACAGTCTGCACATCAGGAAAAGAGGTGAAAAAAATAAAATACCCTAGCACACACAACCCAAATTATATTTTCTGAATATTTTCCTAAAATTGATTGTACCAGTTAGATAGCTGGTTAGATCTATTCAGGACCTTCTGTAAATGAGAAGAGTCTTGATTTGTGTCTGATCCTGGGCAGATCTCAAGCAGTATGCATTTCAGCATTTCTTTGACAATGAAGCTTCAACCAAAAATATTCCAGTCTGGTCAATGTATTTAGATCAAAGATTAACTTACACTCCAGTTTTAGGAACACTGGCACATTTCCTACCATTCAATTTTAGTAACAAGCTGAAGCTGCCACAAAAATATGCAAGATGTTTCTTTGAGTCACCTCTTAAAAACACAGTCACTTATTTAAGTCACAGCCAAAAACTGGCAGGAGTGAATTTGGAAATGCACATGATTATGCATCCACATGGCTAGAAGAGCCAACACGTCTGACAGCAATGAGAAAGTTTAGAAATTAAGGTGTGCTCTTCAATTCCCTCTTCAATTCCCAGTTGTCATGTGCTCAGTCTTACCTTCTGATCCAGTTCTGGCACAGCTAAATGGATTATATGCACTCACATGACACCAGCCGTCACTCTGCTGCTCCACATTTTGCATTGGACTATAATCAAGCAGAGAACACCTACCCTCTGTCTCTGAAACTACAGAGGCACTGTGAAGCTTGGTGTCCCAAAAGAGAACCCAAGATTTTCAGCAAGCCCATTATACATATATATAGACAAAGTATTTTGCTCCTACAGATGAATATAGTGAGCATAAGGCTCAGATACGAAGCATATTTTATTGCATTATGATTGCCACTGGAATTGCCAAAGGGGTCATTCTGCATGCTAATGTGATGTTAACAAGGTCAGTATTAATGGGAAAGCACCTCCTGCACATCGTGATGCTGCCGCAGAACAAAAAAACCTGCTAGACACTGCTATTAAGCTACTGTATACTCATCAGGAGGCTACAGAAAGTACAAAATAGACCACAGATTTCTTAGCCAATATTTTCAAAAGTTAATCGAGTTTTTAAAGCTATGAAAAGCTACAGAAAAAATGGAGTTAGCATAAAAAGTCAATGTTAGTTTCATATGAATATGTAACAGAAAACTGAACTTTATAGCTTTGTGCAAAGTAAGGCATCTCTCTGGTCTGCAGTTTTACCAAGCCATGCATTTTGCCAGCATTAGGCTAACTTGGAGAGAACTACTACGGAAGGCTTTGATCCGGCCAGTGATGAAAGTATCTTCAACTTCTTGGAGAAATAGGGGATGAAACATGCCCTCAGGCACAGAAGCACTCTGAGCAGGTAGACCTAGGAGTTTCAGACACAGAAGTAGGCTAAACCAAACACTCCTCTATGATCCAAATATAACACTCAGTTTGGATGACTCTCTCAACATATACCCAAATCCTATAATTAACAATGCAAGCTATATTCTCTGCAAGTTGAGAAGAACACTTATGTTCTCTTTCACTGTGCCAAAAGAAAATGACTTAGAATTCATTTTTATTTTATTAAAACTTACGTAGGTTGTGGGTAGTCTGTTTTTGGTTGGTTGGTTTTTGTCCACTTGTTTTTTGTTTTTAAATCAAGGCTACCTCAGTTTGTTTGCCTGTTTTCTGATATTGTTTTTTATAACAACTTAAGTAAATTACCTCTGGATAAAAAGGTAGCACATACATAGTCTCACTATTATAAACTGGCTTTTTATAATTCTAATGAGATTTAATGTACAATTTTGTTCACGCACACAGACCAGTCTTCTGGAATATTAAGGTTTAACTGCTTGACAACCAGCATCAGCTATAGCAACATTTATGAATAACAGTTATTAATTAACACCACACAAGTATTTTAGAAAAATGGAAGTTTATTCATCTTTGAATGGCTCAAATAGCAAATAAAAGGACAGGATAAGGCATCAGCCAAGACAGCTTTGACGTGTCCAGTGGCTTCATAACACCTCAGTTCCCAGTATACAGGTTCCAAAGCAAAGTCACAATGTTAGTGGTTAGACTCCCTGGCTAAATAGACCCAAATGAGTACACAGTAAGATGAAGACTGGCTTATTTGCCAGTTACACGAGTAACTTTAATTGTGCACTTGGCAGTCTACTAAATGCACATACAAAATTCCTATTGATAAATATTTAACATGACATATATAACTTCTAAGACTTGAGTCCCTAAAACGTCTGTTAGCATGAAAGTTAAATATTTGTTACCTAGTTTGCTTGAGCACATTTTAAACTGTCAGTTATAGGTTTACACATGTATAAAAAGTATAACAGTTTGTGGAATTGATCTAGCCTGTCTCACCACAAAGGAGTCCAAAACCCTCAAACATTCTGGTATTTTCTTAGTTAAGATGTAGCATACTAACCGTGTGCTAGTATTCTTGCTGTTCCGAAGCAACTGAGGCAGTATGTTTTGTTTGGGGATTTTGGATGTACATGTTAAATGTTTCTGTATTGCAAAGCATGTTTGATTGTTTGATATCAACATCTACTAGAAAAAGTAGCTACACTGTTCCCCATTTGAAAATCAACATAGACTAAATGGTACAAAACCTGCAAAGAGCTTCAGCATAACACACCATGTTCCCACAGCTGAGTATTAGGAACACAAAAGAAATTAACCAAAATTTGCCAGACAACATCTTAAAACACATTAGCGCTACTAGATTAGCCCCACTCCACCCAATTCCAGGGAGTTATAACCCAAGGAACATCTAGACAAAAATCTATGCGCAAAAGGGAAGTTTCAAGGTATCAGCACGTTAAATTTTAAACAACCATTCCAGGCTTAGATGTGCCATAGGCTTATGACATCAGTCTTATATGTATTCTGACCTTTTAGTTAAGATACCATACTGTTAACCAAATTATGGATGACAGAATATGCTCTGTATTATTCACAATACCAGAGTATGGCACATATTTAAAGAACAGACACTGCTAGCAGACAGCTAGTTAGCAAAATCATTCATGTAACTGCACTCCACAGAGAGGGCAGTCTCGCACTGATGTGCAGGAACAGTCTCCATGCAACAAAGTTGAAAATACACCCTTGATTAAGCAACCTGCTATGTTTGGGTTTTAAAATTAAGGCATATTCAAATATTTCAATGTAAAAGTTTATATCACTCTTCTAAATTAATCAGGTAATGCAGAACCACATATAGTTTTCCTCAAAATAACTGTTCGCATATACATTATTCTTTTCTAATTTGCATAACTCCATGGCAAAACAGCTGCATGCTGCTTTGTTAGGTATCATGTTCACAATTGCAATTTTCAAGGCAACAAAGACAAGATGAATTGACAATTACCAGTGATAAAAAAGTATGCTTTATAAGAACCCACAAAGTAATACTTTGCCCCTCTGTTCACTATTAAAGAAAAGACTGCCTATGAGACACTACATTCAGAAGAAATGTGAGAAGGTAGGCAATTATGAAATGGACTGAACTTTGCTTCTCTTGAAGCCACATAATTTTTTTTCAGTGAATTTGACTTTCAGTGCAGCTCCAATTCATGTTTTTAGTGGTACATTACATTTTCCAACATGTTAGGGTAATTTCAGTCACTTCAGCCTTCAATGGCATGCTTATAAATTATGTTTTTTATTAGTATGGTCAGGGTAGGAAAGGAATCCAGGTTTTTGATTATAAAATGCAACATCTTTCTCTGATCCTCTTAGCTAGGCTTTTTCTTTTCTTCTTTCCATTCTTTTCTTTGCTGTCTTCCATTTTTCTGGCTCTAATTTCTCTCATTAAATCAAAAAACACCTAAAAAAGATGTAAGAATATAAATGCAAAAAGAGTCACAGACATGAGTTAATTTATCACTGATATTCACTTCAGTTGCTTAGAGTACAGTCAATTATATGCAACCAGTTTGAGCAAACAAATATTAACCCAACAAATCTTTCATTGGTTCAGAAGGCCAAGTTGATATGATGCAATCCTTCTTCTTTCATGGTACCATAATGTTCCCCTGTCTTCTGACATTTGCTTATGAGTCCTGTCAGACAATTTTAAACAAGGATTGAAACAAGGGTCTCATCACCAGTCAAGATTTTCAAATGTTGTATGAATATCCTACTGAGGAGACTCAAGGAAATCAGTTCATGTTTTGAGTATTTTCAGTGATGAAGTGCAAAGGCTAAAAAAGTGAACATCCAAATCCTAGAAACATACTAATGGAGCAGTGACATACACTGAACATTTCATGCTATGTTCCATGATGCAAGTCTAAACACAAAGTGACTAGGGAAAAAAAATAGCATTTCTCTTAAAGCAAAGTTATCAATCATTTGACTACATAAACAATTTCTTATGTCAGGTAATCTCAGCTACCATATTACAGCCTTAAAGTACATATGAAGTTTGTTTTCCTCAAATGGTTTAGTAGGAAACATGCGACAAAGTTGGAGATACACTCCTGACTTATTTAAGAGAGATCCTACTGACAGTTAAGGCTTTAGGATTGGACTGCTTAAAACTACTTTACTAATCTGAAAAGCAGATTTTTACCTGACTCACAGGAGGCTACAGCAAATAATAATTTCATCTTCATAATTTTATTGTAGGGAATCATCCGAGCAATTCTAAAACTTTTCTTTCTCAGGAGACATTTTCTAGATCTATGTCAAGGGACTTGATTAATTTCTGTGAAACATGGACAGTGCAGGGGCTGAAAAGCTCCTCTACAGAGCTCAGTAGGTTTTTATTTGCAATGACACTAATCTCATATTGACTGCAGCAAGAGCATCAATCTTCATTACATGCAATCTGAAGAAAATCAATGGAATTAAACCTTTCCATCAAGAAATGAGATTGCCTTTAGATTTTCAGATGTGCACTAAGTTACTTGCTTGAAGTTAAATCTGTGCTAATGGCAAGATGCAACTGTCAACTTGCTTAAGCACTGATATCACACTACAATATTTAGCTGTCTGGGATACATAACCTTCTGAGAAAATGCTTAGTGGGTCACCTTTGCCAAAGTAAGTGTCAGCTGTCTGTATTTTTCCCAAATGAGCAAACCCACTATTCTGGAATTCAGAGAGGTCAGATTTCTTATAAAATAGTAACCCAGGTTTGTGTAACAAACCACAAAACTTCGTATGCTCCAAGTAACTAAGAATATGTGGTATTCACTTGTGCCAACAGAGCCTCATTTATGACCTGTCAAACCCTAAATCTATATGACACATGCTAATCTGGATCCATTATGCCACCAGCTCCAAAAAGAAACCTGGAGCTCTGTGGTAGCCTATCATGTGTATGCTATTGATCAGAGAGCTACTGAAAAAATATATATACACACACTTTTTTTCCTACCTACTAAAAGATAGTAAAGTGGATTTGAAGAGCAGGGAATTTCTACAACAGTAATAGATGGCTGTTAACTGCAATTATACATCAAAACTAAAAGATGTATTAGCTTTTACAACAACAATAAAAAAAAATCAGAGCTGTATTCATCAATGAAAATGAGTTCTGCTGTGTTTAATTGACTTAATTTACTCTACAGAACAGCACACAGTTCTTAATGTAGTATTGAACAATCAGTTTCTTCAGGAAGATAACTGGCAGGAGAAAACAGCTGAGTTTAAGTTATTGCAAAAGAGAACTCACATTACAGCTCTCATATTCAGTTGACAGCTCATACGTAAGGATTCATGTTAGAAAATTTTTCACCAAGTGCAAGGTCCTGCACCTGGGTCGTGGTAATCTCAGACATGAGTCCAGACTGGCAGAAGAACTCATTGAGAGCAGCCTCGTGGAGAAGGACTTGGGGGTTTTCATGGATGAAAAGCTGGATGTGAGCCAACAGTGTGCTTCCAGACCAGAAGGCCAATGGTATCCTGGGCTGCATCGAAACAGGACTGGCCAGCAGATCAGGGAGGTGATTGACCCCCTCTACTCTGCCCTGGTGACACTCCACCTGCAGTGTTTGGTCCAGCTCTAGGGTCCCCCAGCACAAGAAAGATGCAGAGCTGTTGGAGCAAGTCCAGATGAGGCCACAAAGATGATCTGAGGACTGGAGCACTTCTCTTATGAAGACAAGCTAAGAAAGCTGGGGTTGTTCATCCTGGAGAAGAGAAGGCTCCAGGGAGACCTCATTTCAGCCTTTCAGTTCTTAAAGAGGCTTATAAAAAAGAGGGAGAACAACTTTTTACAGTGGTAGCTTGTGATAAGACCCTTGGGGGAACAGTTTTGAACTAAAAGGGGACAGATTTAAATATTAAATTAGGAAAAATTTCTATTGTGGGGGTGGTGAGGCACTAGAGCAGGCTGCCCAGAGAAGTTGTGGATGCCCCATCCCTGGTAATGTTCAAGGTCTGGTTGGATGGAGCCCTGAACAACATGATCTAGTGGGTTGCATCCCTGACCATGGCGGGGGTGTTGGAACTAGAGATCTTTAAAGGTCTCTTTCAACCCAAACCATACTGTGATTCAATGTGTGGTCAAATTTGTCAACAGCTCTGAAAGGAAAGATTGGCCCATTGCACTGAACTACTTATTTATTTTGCCACACATCTGTTACTCTTACAGTCTACAAGGCTGTAGAACTCCTGTCTTTTACAGTTATAGTGAAATATTTACAACTAATCAATATTTTAGTTTTTTGGAGACAAATATTCTCTCTTATTTCACAACCTTCTGAACCAGGTTTAATCCCTGAAAACTCATGAGGTACTTCTAGGCTTTTCAAAGCTTTTTGGGTTCACCCATTCTTCATCGAAGCAACATACAAATAGGCAGACGGTTAAATGAGGGTAGGGAGGGCTCAAATCCCTCCCTTACCTACTTTTACAAGGTGTTTTACTTTGAGGATCAGACAGTACTCCTCACTGTTCAGAAGTAGACTGTCTTCTAGTTACAGAAAATGCAGTAAGAAGTCTAGGCCAACATTTTCACTATTCTACATGAAGTCACCTAGTCATTCACTCCCTGCAAGCTAAGGGAGGAAAGTATTTGAATAAAATTTCACAAAAATAATTGCTAAAATAATGAACATATAGAGAAACCCATGGAAAAGAGGGATAATGTAAAAACTGATGGACAGATCCTTTGTTTTAAGAGGGCAGTTATTACCTTGTCAACATTAGCTCGTGTTTTTGCAGAAGTTTCCACATAATTAACATTCCACTGATCAGCTCTGTTTTTTGCTTCCTCTACAGAAACTTGCCTTTTATCTTCCAAATCTGATTTATTACCAACTAGCAAAAAAGGAACATTCTCATCTTCTTTTACTCTTAAGATCTGCTCCCTGGAGAAAAAAGGAAAGGAAAAGAAAATTAAGCTTTGCATGGAGTACTATTCTTAGAACACAAAAAGAAGAACTCAGACTAAATACTTTTCCATCTTTACAGTGAAAAGCCACATATTCCTCTATGAAGCTTATGTAACAGGAAAGTCTTAAACTTCATTATGACATTATACAGAATGAAGACAGGGACAGACAACTAGTCCTCCAGGAAGGAAGGAGGTGAGTCAGTAAGAAATGAAAAAAAAATAGAACAGGATTGGTTTAGATGAGAATTTATATTAATAATTCATTCCCTTTAACAGTGTTATTTGAGAGCATTTTCCATTGTCTTTATATTATTACTTTTGATTGCCATTTTTAAGCTATCCAAGCTTCAGTTTTACTGCTGATTTTTTTCCTAACAAAATGCATGTGCCATTTTTAAAGCTGATAAAATGATCTACAGCATATTAAGAGAAAATCTTTTCCTTTCAGGAATCTTCCTCAAGTCAATTATATTCAGTCTCTGCAGAGAACTTCATTCAGTTATAAGCCAATGTAGAGATACAAGTTGTATATGCATCAGATTTTTAAGGACAGATGCTTCTACTGTTTTAACTGCTAGAATGTAAGGTATAAAGTTGTAAATCTCAATACTACAAATTGTTTGGTAAATAAGTCTTCAACACTTAAAAAATAATGAAAGTTTTCTTCTACTTGGAAATGCATTAGAAGTATCAGGAAGAACAGTTTTCTCGGAAGGATACTCTGTATTTTGTCTAAGAAAAGAGCATAAAGTTAGCAGTGAAATTTAGCCCCGATCATGGAGCAATTTCTGAAAGATCGACAAAAAGCATGGAGAAAAAAATTCCTTTTGCTGGCTGAGGTGAAACAAAATTTAAAGTTGAAGGGAGAGAAGCTGAAGACAATTAAGTAATTGATATTCTAAAGGGCTTTCATTTGGTATATGGTGGGATTCTCCCACTGTTACAAAAAGCTCTGAATAGCATGTAGTCTTGTGGGGGAAGTCTATTCACAGGGTTGAGAAACTGCAGATAGCCCTTTTTTTTTTTTTTTCAATCAACAGCTATGCATTGGAGGCAGTTTGTAACACTACATTTATGTCTGAGGTATAATCAAAAAGCAACATTTCTCCTCTTCCCCAAAAACACCAGTGCAAATGTTTTAACAGGGTGTGCAGCTATCCACAAGTAGTTTGAATAGTCAGTGGATTAGGAAGGTGGCCAGAAGAAAACTCAGTGCATCACTGCAGTATCTTTGTAAATCAGATTACTTGTAAAAACTAGTAGCTTTCAACACTAATTATCTAGGTGATTCTATATGGAGTTTGAGTGACAAGGTTTTGGTAGCCAGGGGACTACAAGGGTGGCTTCTCTGAGAAGCTGCTGGAAGCTTCCCCGGTGTCCAACAGAGCCAATGCCAGCTGGCTCCAGGACAGGCACACCAATAAGTGTGCCAGTAAGCAATGGCAGTAATGACACAGGCATAATGTATTTAAGAAGGGAAAAAAAAAGTTACTGCACAGAAATAATTGCACTCAGAGAAGAGAGGAGTGAGAATATGTGAGAGGAACAACTATGAAGAGACTAAGGTCAGTGAAAAAGGGGGAGAAGGTGCTCCAGACACCAGAGCAGAGATTCCTCTGCAGCCCATGGAGGAGACCCGCACTGGAGTAGGCCTGTGCTGGAGCAGGCTCTCCTGGCAGAGACCTGTAGGCCCATGGAGAGAGGAGCCCATACTAGAGCAAGACTTTTTACTCTGTGGGGGACAGAGCTGGAGCAGTCTGTTCCTGAAGGATTACACCCCATGGAAAGGGATCCACACTAGAGCAGTTCTGCATGAACTGCAGCCTGTGAGAAGGGCTCACACTGGAGAAGGTCATGGAGGACTGTCCCCCATAGGAGGGACCCCACACTGGAGCAGGGGAAGGACTCCTCTCCCTGGGGAGGAAGCAGCAGCAGAAACAACATGTGATGAACTGACCACAACCCCCATTATTCCCTGTCTCCCTGTGCCGCTGGGGAGGAGGAGGTAGACCCTGGGAAGGAGGGAGGGGTGAGGGGAAGTTGTTTTTAAGGCTAGTTTTACTTCTTATTATCCTGTTCTGATTTTGAATGGTAATAAATTCAATTAAGTTCCCCAAGTTGTGTCTGTTTTGTCTGTGACGGTAAGTGATGAGTGATCTCTCCCTGTCCTTAACTCAAAAGCCTTTCATTGTATTTTATCTCCCCTGTCCAGCTGAGCAGGGGAGTGATAGAGCATCTTTGGTGGGCACCTGGCATAAATGCCAGGTCAAACCACCAAAGATCCCAAACAATTTCATTACATAAAGAGTTAATCTAACAGCAATCCAGATGACAATATTCTCCTTTGCGACCCCTCTGAAGGTTGATATCTCCTGAACCATTTATATGTGCCAGCTTGAAATCTAGAACGTAAAACAAAAAAACCAAACATAAGAGCCAGACCAATTCTACCCAAAGCAAGGCCAAATTTTATCAAACTGCCTTTAAAATATTTAAAAGTATAGTCATTGTAGGTCTGCGTTCTATTGAAAAAAATGACTTGGAGCACTGGCATTTCAGAGCGTACCAGGAATCCCATTGCAGATATTGAAGCAGTACACAGCTCTTCTGTTGGAGGTCTGCCATTCCAGCAGAACAAAATTCCACTGAAACAAACATGCAAATTTTTCTTGTTACTTTCTTTCATATCTGGCTCTTAAATAGTATGCCCTCAGACTACTCAACAATGTCAAAGGTACTTTAACTGTACACACATCAGAAAATGTACTTTTTCTGAGCTACATTTTAGCATTTAGGCTTCTACAGTTTCAAAGGCAACTTTAAAGGCACTTTCAGATTTGGACAGAGGAGAATTTTAGTATTTTTACTTAAAGGGATTTTTTCTTTCATTTTTGTTGTATCAACATGTATATTGTTAACACTCACCTTTATTGGAAAAGTAGGACTTTTTCTAAAGCCAAAGATCATGTACTTTGAAGCATTAACATGATTTTAAACAGATTTGAATAGGTCATTTTGCACTCTAGAGGAGCTGAACTATACTAAACAGTCCTCCACGATTGACAGTACTTAGCATAAGCCTGCAAACATACAAGGTCTGCTCCTCCCTCTCTCAAAACATGTAAAACACACACATATAGAGACACAAATAAATAAAAAAAAACACTAGAAGATGAAACTCTCACTGTCTCCCCTCTTCACACCTCATATTTCTCCCTTAGAGATATTAAACATGTTTTGCCACTTAGTGATAATTAAGTTGAACTGTGACAGCATCTTTGAGAAGACTTATTTCAGTGGGATGTAGATAATATCTTTTTATATTTGTTTCCTTCCTTTTTTGTCAAAGGTTATGGCCTTTCCTATTTCACTACACTTTGAACAGGTAAAACCATTTTCTGATCTCTTTTGTTGTCTTTTTTTAAATATAGCAATAAGCAATTTAAATATGCTTTCTCTCTCAAACAACGTTGAACACCTGTAATATACTGCTGCCTGTATAATATTCTATTATTATCATAAGAGTTTTAATATGCTGCATGCCTGAAAGCCATCTTAAAAACCCTATCCTGTTAAACATTTATTACACCAGAAATACCCAGTTCCAAATTTTGGTTTTATGTTTGCTTACAATTAAATAATATACTGATTTTGATAGGAAGGGTGAATGCTATGCAGAACTTTTGTCTTGTAAATTCAAAAATTTACATCCATATCTTTTACAGAGAAAAATTCCACCCAAGCAAAACTGAAGGGACAGATTTACAGCAATCCTTTACACAAAATATATATATACTACTTCAATTGAAAAATACTTCTCATTTGTGTTTGTGGTGTGTTGACCCTGTCTGCATACCAGGTACCCACCAAAGTCCTTTATCACCTTCCTTCTCAGCTGGACAGGGGAGAGAAAATACAATAAAATGCTCTTGAGTTGAGATAAGGACAGGAGAGATCACTGATCGATTACAGTCACAGGCAAAGCAGACACAACTTGGCTAAGTTAATTGAACTTATTACCAATTAAATCAGTAGGGTAATGAAAAATAAAACCAAATCTTAAAAAACACCTTCCCCTCACCCCTCCCTCCTTCCAAGGCTTAACTTCACTTCCAATTCTACCTCCTCCTCCCCACCAGCAGCACAGGCAAACAGAGAATGAGGGTTGTGGTCAGTTCATCACATGTTGTTTCTGCAAATGCATCCTCCCCAGGGAGAGGAGTCCTTCCCCTGCTCCAGTGTGGGGTCCTTCCCACAGGAGACAGCCCTCCATGAACTTTTCCAAGGTGAGCCCTTCCTACAGGCTGCAGTTCTTCATGCAGAACTGCTCCAGCGTGGGTCCCACGCGGGGTCACAAGTCCTGCCAGCAAACCTGCTCCAGTGTGGGCTCCTCTCTCAACAGGTGCTGCCTCCTCTACCACGAGCTTCCCACAGGGTCACAGCCTCCTTCAGGTATCCACCCGCTGTGGCTTGGGGTCCTCCAGAGGCTGCAGGTAATATCAGCTCCACCATGGACCTCCATGGGCTGCAGTAGGACAGCCTGTCTCACCACGGTCTTCGTCACAGGCTGCGCTCTGGCGACTGGAGCACCTCCGCCCCCTCCTTCCTCACTGACCTTGGCATCTGCAGAGCTGCTTCTCTCACTTATTCTCACTCCTTTCTTCTCTGGCTGCAATCTGCTTCTGCCCAACAACTTTTTTTCCCTTTCTTAAATACGTTATGCCAGAGGTGCTACCACTGTTGCTGGTGGGCTCAGCCTTCGACAGAGGTAGATATTTCTTGAAGCTAGCTGGCTTTGGCTCCACTGGATATAGTGAAAGCTCCTAGAAGCTTCTCAGTGAAGCCACCCCTGCTTCCAAAACCTTCTCACCCAAACCCAATACTCTGTTGTTCATAAAACCATCTTTAAGAGGTAGAAAGGCTTGTGGTGTTGATACTATGCACTTTGCTCTCCCAGAATACAATGCTTGTGCCTCACATTGCCTAAGACTTTGTAGACAGGCATCACTAGATATGGTTATTCTGTAGAGTTTTCAACTGAAATCTGGTCATGTCATCTTTATAATAAGTATTCTAGTATAAAACAGTTGCACATGCTATAGCTGCTTTTTTGTTCTAAGGTTTTCACAGGTTAAGAGAAACACATCATAGTCCTCTATATATGGAGCAAGAACTAAAAAAAGGCACCTCTGGGGAGTACACAGTACTGTACATACATTACAGGCAACCATACAAACTCTATGACATTTTTCTCAGATCCATTACTTTGGATAGCTGTATACCTCCTCAAGAAACATTGCTTCCTAGCACAAGTGCCAAGCAACACCAACTTACAAAGGGCAGAAGTATCTGCTCTGTGGTAACAGCCTTTCTGGTATTCAGAAACACAGCAGCTAAGATATCTGAACTGGTACAGATAGTGAAGGCATGGCTAGGCATCTGTTCAAATTGTTCATTATGTGACAACAGTAAGAGTTGTCATCCAGTGTGGATTATCAAAAAGATATTACACAACAATTAAAAAAAAATCACTTGCAATCATCACATTGTAATTAGAATAATTATCTTGCCTTGTAACTTACCTGAAGTCTGCAGTTGCTGCAAAGGATTCTAGCTCTGTAATAGAGAAGACGCAAAGAAAGCCTTCTCCACTTCGGAAGTAGTTGTCTCTAATTGCAGCGTAGTCCTCCTGCCCTGCTGTGTCCAATATATCAATTTGGACTTCTTCCCCATCCAGAACCACTTTTTTCCTGTAGCTATCTGCTTTGGTGGGCTCATAGTCTTCAACAAACTAGAAAAAAAACCCCTTAATGATATAAAATCATGCCTGTACAAGGCAAATGCTTCTGTTTGAACACAAGGATATAGCAAGCATCTTAAATGGGTACAGTAACTAATAACTAAGCATATGCATTTAGGCCATGTGAAGTATTCAAACGACTCAGTTAAAGCAGACTTTTCCTCAGCCCAAACAGTTTTTAGGTTTTTGCTTTCCTAAGCCACTTTCACTGGGGAAAAAAGGTAAGGAAACAAGAAACTGATTTTCCTTCCTCTCTTCAGCAGCAGCATAAAAAAATATGGAAGAGCTTGGTTGTTTCAGGCATCATGCAACTCACTTAAGTGAAGAAGCTTTCAGCTGTAATAACTAAGTTCTAATAGGTCTAGTGAACAATGTGAAAATATTCCAATAATATGACAGAGCATCTAACTGCTTAGAAGTCTGAAAAAGGTCAGATTATACCTTCACAGGTATCTCTAGAAGGCAAATCACTAATCTCAAAACATGTTTTTGTCCCACTTAATTGAAGACTTTCCTACCACATCACATATATTTAGACCTTTCAGAAAAAAACTGTAAAAATTTAACTTAAACAACACTATGTAGCAGGCATCTCTTAATTTCTAGTGCAGATTCTTACCTCATCATACATGAATTGTAGTGTTAAAGCAGATTTTCCTACACCACCGCTTCCCACCATGATGACTTTGTGTAAAGCCAAGGAATTTTGTCCTTTAGGTTTATTTGCTGCCATCTTTAGATTGCAGAAAATTCACAGGTATCAAATGAAAAAAACCTAGAAGAAAAATATTGCTTCATTAGTTTTCTTTTCCTTTTCCCACATGAACTGTTTAAACTGGATTTGTTTCAAATCCCTACATATCTAATATCTTAATTTCAGTTCTGCTGTCTTCAGTGAAACCTATCTGCTTTTTCACTAGAAGTCGTTCCACAAATTATACTGAGCTCATCTATTTTGCTACTTAAGCAAAGAAATCTTTCACCATTTGGAAACAGCACCAGTGGGTCCACACCATCCAAGAGCAATTAAGGGAAAAGATTTACATCTTGGTATGTAGAACATGACATTTTCTTTTAGTGACACAGTACGTGTCAAAAATTCTTGCTAGTTTATTACACAAGAATTGAAAAATGAAGCCGTGGTGAGTCAACACTGTACACCACCATATCACAAACATGTGATATGACAGCTGCAGGGGAAGAAAACAGACTTTTGATGGAATTTCCATCTTAAATAGCAAGCATTAAAACACAGCAGCAAGGATTAGCTAGTGTACTTTTACAGAGAAAAGCAAGCAAACTTAAAACCTAAAAATACCCAGTTTCAATAAGTCCATCAGAAGCCAAAAGAATAATTTAGTTTACATAGAGTAAAAAGATTCAACTTGCCTACAAATCTAATTATTTGGTGTATTTGGAATAGTTGTCTCAGTCCCATGACTGTTTGCTTAAATACAAATCTCTGCATCTCACCAGTACCAAGAGGCTCTACGAGTTAACTGACATAGTTTAATGTATGCTTGCAGAAATACAAAACATAACAATTCCATTAACTTAAAAAAAAAAAATCAAGCATGTTATAGTTTTAGCAGATCTCTTCAGCAGATCTTCCCATACCTTTGTTTCATTCCCTACCTATCTCAATAGTAAAATTTGTGATTGCTTGCACAGTTCTTAAGACATGTGAAAGTCCCGGTACAGTGACAGAATGTACTCTCCTCCAGAGATTTCAAGTCAAAACAAGCTCTGAACTGCAAAAGACATCTACATTACATATATATGTAATGACATCTACATTACATATATAAATACAATAAACATCTATGGAAGCAATTAAGAACCAAATGTAACTCAGATTTTGTTAATTAGAAAGCTCAAAAAGAGCACATTCATATGGCAGCACAGCTCAGTTACACAGAGAACTATCAGATAACAGTGTGTTATAACAAGGCGGCACTATTACCTCATTGTCAAATGGTCACAATGGGTAAAGAAAACGTCACACTAAAATTACATCCTCCTGCATAATGAATTACCCTTGTGTGCAGCTTAAACAATCAGAATGCGAAGCAGGACAACTTTCTTAAAACGTTTATCAAAATCCCTAGTTGAGTCCATGCACTAAGGTTTTGTTAGGCAGTGAGGCAGGTAACTATAAAAGCATGCTGACTAAAGCTTCAGTGGAGATTCAGCCAATCTTTCCTGGAAGTAAAAATAAATAAATACAGAGCATCAAGGCCTTTTCTGTATCTCATGCTGCCATGCCAGCAATTAGGCTGGGCATGAGCAAGCAGCTAGGAGACACACAGCTGGAACAGCTGACCAAAGGGAAAACCCCATGCCACCGCTTAGGAATAAAAGTTGGCAGAGACATTTGAAGTTTGTCAGGACTGCCATTGCTCAGGGACTGGCTGGGCATTGCTTGGCCAGCAGTAAGTTTTTTTTTTAATCATTTGTTTTCCTTGGGCTTGTTTCCTTTTTTTTTAAAATGTATTAAATTATCATTATCTCAACCCACAAGTTTTCTTACTTTTACCCTTCCAATTCTCTCCCCCATCCCACTGTAGAGAGCGGGAGCGAGAAAGCAGCTGTGTGGTACTTAGCTACCCACCAAGGTTAACCTACAACCCACATGACAAACTCTTCAGATCACATCAGTACCATTCTGCTGTCAAGGAATTCTAAAAATGCAACTGAAAACTAAGTCACTTAAATTGTTTTCCCCAAAAAGATTATCTAAGTGAAGAAAGTATGAGTAAGCTAATGTACTCATTTATAGAGCCATAGCAGAGAAATACAACTAACATTATGTTACAAGTTCTTTTAAAAAGGAGATGGAAGAGAACAAAAACACATTTCCATTTTGGCTTAAAAAGAACCATTGCTTCCTTTTTACTCAAGAGGCAGTATAAGAACAGGAAAATAGTTCCAAGCCATGCACATGTTTTCAAGCTACATTACATCTTGAACTACTCCATTGTTGTCTTTCCACTTTTCTCTTAAAAGGAAAAACATACCCTGAAAGTCGTGCTTCTTAGTACGTATTTCAGACAAATAACATAAAGAAAATTCATCTGAATTCCATTTACCAACTGACAACAGCTCAGTTTGTGAAGCTCTGATTACAATATATACCCACAGAAGCAGAGAAATTGAAGCACTAATATACCTGGATATGGCGTACTCTGAGCAAGAAAACAGAATATTCTTCCGTAAGTACTTTACTACTGGAACAAGTCCAAATGAATTCAGCAGGACCTCTGTCAGGTGAGTTTGTGCAAACAATCTGAATTCAAATATACAATAGCAATGTTTCACTGTAATACTTGTTGTAAATTAACCTCTAGTCTTTAAGTGGATTGAGCAGTGTGAAAATTGATATTTTACTTCAAGTTGCAATTCAACAAGTAATGTCCCAGTGTGACAAACAGAAGTTGCTGCTTTTTGTACTCTCTGCAACAGTTCACACATGAAGAACCCAACACATTTCCACTTCCAATTTGATCCTTACAAATAAAGTTAATGACAATGCTCCTTTTCCCTGAAAATTCAACCAGAAAGATTTTATAGCAGCCAGTCATTTTCAGAAGTCTTGATAACACCCTTTCAAAGAAGCATAAGAGACTGAGTCAAAGAAACTTCAAATTATAAAAACCTGACCCAACCAGTCAAAGCAGTATTCCAAGTCATCAATAACTGTCAGTTAACAACATTCCATTAAAATACTGAAGACAGCAAAACTTCACTGGAAGGAGTTGGAAAGGGCTGCCCAGGGAAGTGGTGGATTCTCCACCCCTGGAGGTTTTTAAGATGAGATTGGATGTGGCACTTAGTGCCATGGTCTAGTAACTGCAGTGGTAGTGGATTAAGGGTTGGACTTGATGATCTCAGAGGTCCTTTCCAACCCAGCTTATTCTATAATTCTATGATTTATGCTACCACAGACTTCAAATCCTAAAGATAAGCTTGTTGTAAATACTCTGCTACATGTTGTAGTAGGAGGCAGCTCAGGGAGGCCAGTTTGCTCCCAAGTTCTTCACAATCCAGTAAAGATACAACACTAGCAAAACTCAGGCCTGCTGATAGTAGACAACATGGAAAGAGAGAAATAAGTTACAAACAATGCAAGTACAAGGCAATATGATACTGTGCAAACAACACTTAATCCAAAGAGACTGCTTCAGAGTAAGTACTGTGCCAGAGAGGAGAGACACCTTGAAAGTGATAAGTTTTAAGCTACTACCACATACCTTTTTCAGCATGCTTTGAAAAGCAAAGAGGAACCTAGATTCCAATTTTAACAGTAAAGCATCTGAGACGAAGTTTCACACACAAAGTCTTTCCACCCATAATTTATGTAGCCTGGCTTATTTTCATAAGTAGTATTAATTTGCGTTATATCTAGTTTCTGAATTGGCCTACTTTATAATTATGATAAAACTGACAGAGACTGTGGCAAGAACCTTGTTGTATGAAGCTCAAGAAAGCATCTTATTATGTGTACTGTGATTTTTTTTTTTATTATTTTCATCTTCACAATGCAAAATTATTTGGGGGTCAGAAGATAAACACTGGATTATCCTGCAGTCAAATTCTACGTCACCCTACAGCAGAGAGACACACACAGAGTCAAGCAGGGTGTTGTCAATAACTGTGTCATCTATTTCTGCAAGTCAGGTTTTTACCACACCCACTCTAAATCCCATAATACAGCTGATGACATATATTAAAGTTTATTTTTAAACAGTTCTTTGTGTAGTTCAACAAGTTGGAAGAGAAGCAAAAGCTTAACTGACTCAACAATGTACTGCAACACCTTCACTGAGAAGGACGAAAGCATTGTCTAACCACCATGCTACAGATCAGTCCTCAACTCCACTTCAGATAAACTCCTAGGAAACTGCCCTTTTCCAACATACTTGTGCAGATAAGGACATAAACAAATGAATCTGACTGCTCTGCCGAAGTAAGCAGTTCTCAAAGCTCCTACAGCTGCTTTACTGCCTGCTTGCAGATAACCACCCCCATGATTCTGTGCTCCATTTAATGGCAGGCTTCCAGGTGGAGCTAGGATCGTTTTTGTAGAGCCAGGTTAGGGAGCAATTAGATTAACTAAGAACTCCAGAAGTAGGAATTCATGTTAGCATCAGCAATGGCATCTTGTCCAACAGTCTAAAAATCTAACCAAAGGAAAGAAGATTAGGTAAATGAATAACTTTTAAGTTATTTTTACATGATTAAGATAATCTTGGAACTTGTAGCTGGGGTTGGAAAGCTGCTGGCTTCTACCTGTAGCAATACCAAGTTCTCCTGAGTTTTATACCTTACATCAAAGCTCCTCTGTGCAAAAAATGTTACCTGCAGTCCCTCACAGATTTAAACCCAACATCCAGCATTCAGCTCCACACACCAGAGGAGTGAGCTGGACATTGTTTCTGTGACACGACTTGGACACATAAGCATCATGTTAACTTCCACATAAAGTCTTGCACCACAGAGTGATTATCCAGATTTACAAGAGTAAGATAATCAGGTGCCAACACAAAAAAAGCTTTTCATCTTCAGGGACAATATTTTCAGGGAAGATATCTTTGCAAATACATGTTAGGGAAAAAGAAAACAAAAAGCAGGAATCTTTGATCTCTCTTTATTAGTCTATATTTTGTCCTCCCATCTACTATTTCAGTCCAATAAACTGAGACAAAAATATGCTTAAGGGTGAAAAAAAATCTAATAGGTTTCATCCCCTCATTCATCTTGCTTGTCTGATCAAATTGAGAGGACTCTTCTTAAGCTGTCCTGTTTCTCAATTGGCTTTTTCTTACAGAGTAACTTGCTCCAAAACAATCAAAGCATGCTTCCTTACATATCCATGCCATTTGTCCTCTACATCCCTCCTCAATGCAATAATCCCAAGGTTCATACAGTAAGAGGGAGCAAAAAGGTGGCCAACAGAGTAGCTGTGTACCATCCAAACAGGGCAACAGACAACACTTTAGATTACTTCCTTTCCTTCACAGGGAGCACTGTGAATCACAGGGTAGACTTCCCCCTCTTTAGCCAGCAGTACATACTAAAGAAATTTACAGAAACTACCTTATCAAAGACACCTGAATTTCTGACAAAATGTACCCAAAACTGGCCTATAGGCTGAAAAATAACAAAGAACAGAGCATATGATCAGCCTCATTTTCTTATAGAATGAGAACAAAAGAGGTCAAGAAGCTATTCTGCTTGTTTTGATTCCCTGGAGTCTTGTATATGCAACGTCAACAAGAACAGACCAGGGAAAGAAAAGCATTACACCGAAGTCACATCATTACAGGCACAAATTCAGCTGGCATCTTCTGCAGTACTATACATAAAGCTGAATGCAGGCTTTGTGAATATGTAGTTGTCCTTAACAGCAGGAATTTGATTTGCTGCAGACATTTGTTTGAAGGGGACTAGTTATACACAGCTTTGTGTTTAATCACAGTTGGTACAGCTAGTATAGTAGGTTCCAATTAATAAGTAGAGATGGTGGTGCCCTTCAATTATAAAAAACCCAACTTTTTATTGTTAATTTTATAGCCTACATAAAACTAACACATCAGAACTGAATTCCAGTTTGTTTCCTTTCCTTTAAGATTACATAAAAATTTGAAAGTCTGTCACATTTAACCTCATGACCCACTCGCTTTTATGATGAGTAACTTTCTTCTCTGAAGACTCTTTTATATAACAAACATCACTTACAACCACTAGCTGTTACGTTACAGCACCTACCTTTACTCTGTTTAACAGAGTTAGAACTTGGATACATTTGAAGGAATAGGAGTAATTTAATTGAAATATGCGAGCCGCCTGCATAATATTAAGAACTATAGTTAGTATGCTTTGACCAAAATACTTCCAGAAAGGCAAAATTATCAATTACTTACTGAACAATTAAAAAAAATTTAGTAATGGAAACTCATGTTGTTCTAATCAAATAACTAATTTTTTTTTCTAATTGAAGAAATTAATACCTGCACTACTCTGTACTTTAAATTTAGTACAATCTATCACTTCCCAAAACATTAGCTACAACTTATCTTATTCTGAAGTGAAAATTTATGGTAATTATTTGTCAGTATTTTCTAAGTGAGTTTAAATATTCTCCAAAGTTTCTTAATTCCCCAAATTGATTCAAAACACTCTTGCCTCACATGACCTAAAAATTACAAGTTCAGCTTTCTGAGAAAAAGCACAGGAACAAGAATTTTGAAAAGTGACAACATATTGATATCCCCAAGGACCATCAAGCAATATAATCTTATCTGTTATGAAAAGATCACAAATTCAACTAGTTACTTCATTGTTTATTGAGTCTAGTAGTTTCAGTTTGGTTAACAACAGCAAAATTATACTTGAGAATGTATTGTTTGAAAACAGCACTAGCATACTAGATGCCAAGTATCTGGAAGACACCTCAGGAATGACTCAGATATTTCTGCAACAAAAGTGTTCCTGGAAAAGGAGGGAGGCAATTCCAGGCAAGCAGAGTCTAACCCTCCCAACAGCTGCTTCCAATTACAATATTGAAACCAGAACAGCAGAAACAGCCCACGACCCAGAAATTGATAAGATACATGAGGACATAAGACAGGATATATGATACCAACTGTTTTAAGAACTGGAGACTAAGGAAGTTTTTAAAGTTAGATCAGCATTATTATAATAAGTGTCATTCCATGGCTCAAGTTTGACTGGTGTTTAAACACACAACATCTGCCAAGCTCTGCATGAAGTAGTATCAGTATTTTATTAAGGTACAACAAGTATTTCAAATGTTAAATAATCACTATGAATTAAAAGTAGAAGCCTAGAAAAAGATGAGAACTAGCACAAATATTCAAACCTATCTTAGAAATGACTAGTCTCATTAGATAATGGAACAGGCCTCCTGAACCTCAACCTCAGAACAAGGTAGAAACTTTCGCAATAAGTATTTCCCTCTCTCCTGAAAATAATCCTTTGACATAAACATGTTTAACTGGTAATTAGGATTTGTTGCTTCCCATGGGTTTAACAAGCAGTTAAACCACATTCAAGGTTTTGTAAGACCTTCTTTCCAAAGCTTTCCAGGGCACACCATATAAGGTGCTTGTGTCTCCCACACCTACAAAACAAATTTACTAAGGTAACTAACTACACATATACTAACAAAAGCAAAGTTCTATCTCTCAGCAGCAGCAAATCTCAGGCAAAAGATCTACATTTCCCAGCTCCTTGAGACAGATACTTCAAACTGTAACCATATACAGGCACTTAAAATTGGAAAAGTCAACCAGTGAACTCTTCATGAAGTAACTGAGGCCCATTCATCCTGTAAATTACCTCACACTGCTATAAAGAACAGTGGTTGCCACATGCCTGCAGCTTTGTACTTTTAAGACATCATCATCAGAACCGAGATTTCTCCAACAAGAAGTCACAAAAACACTAGCAAAGAAGTTCACAGACTTCCTAAGGCTCCACAGGGCCTTAGTGCCAGCTTCTGGGTATAGCCATGAACTAGGCAACAGCTTCTGAAGTCAGAATATACATGAATTCCATATGATTCAAGTCATCATTTCAGCATTTTGTTACCAAAAAGCTTCTTTAGCATCCTGCAAGATGACTTCTGGGAAGGCATTTCCATCAGGAAATTTCTCGAAACCCACATGTAACAGCACGTGAAAACCCTGACAAACTAAACAACAGAAACTGCCTAGAACAAAATCAATGTATTAAGATTTCAAACCTTGTAGTGTGTTGAAAAGAAAATGAAGCAGCTACATCACTGTCCACATAAAACACTGGCAAAACACACAACATTTGAACCCAGCTGTGTGTGTCTGCAAGGCTGACATAAACTGAACCTGGCACAGTCTGACTATCTTCCCATAACCTTTCTCCCAATAGCACTAGGTGGCAAAGCACTTAGGAAGTTACTCTAGGCAAAAATTAATCTATACTGTTTTTTGGACAGATCAGCTACCTAAACAAGCTTGCTGGCACCAAAGACAGCCCAGAACAACACATAGCTGACCACGGGGAAAGCAAAACTACAGCACTTCCAGCATATAAGCAAAACAATGAAAGTGTTCTAAGGTTCCTCAACCATTATCTAGACCTGTTGAAGATTCCTTGCTTTTTGCAAGTTATGTTATGGCTATTACAAAACATTGGGAAGAGTTCTAGATACTTTCATTGGTTTATCTGGACTGCTCCAGAGATCAGTGGGAAGAGCAGCAAACTCAAGCACACCAGCAATAAAATTGCTCTCATAGTTCAACTGACTAAAGTTACACTGTGAAATAATTTTGGTAATATACACATTTATGCAAGAGTCTGGAATACTGTTTCTGCTTTCACATGTTCATTACATGGCTGGTGCCCTATCAGTCTATTCTAATCATTGAGGGAACTTAACTTTCTGAAGCTGACAGTGCTGAAGTGTTTCTTTAACATGAAGAGTCATGTCTTCCCTTACATTATATTTATAAACATGAAGATCTGTAATCTAGCATATTAACAGAAGGTATTAATTTTATATTGATTTAAGATTATACACCATGAGGAGAGAATTAACAGCAACAGCCATCACGATAGAAGAATGAACAATTACATGCCACTAGCCTGTCAAAGCTATCCATAGACTTGCATGGATTTAGAGGGAAGACAGACAAACAGGTACTATGGTACTAACTGCTGATTTTCCACCACAAGCAAAACTAATGAAAGGCTGAAACAGATGAGGAGGAAATCTGTGGAAGAGCCTCCCACATCAGTTACCCATAAATAAGTCTCCTATCAAAAGTCAAATTACATTCATGGGAGATACTATTGTTCTGCATTTGATATGGAACAAAGACACTTCCCCACCCTCTCCCCCCCACTAAAATGTAAGAGTCAATGTATTGCCTCCAAGTATGAATTTTACTAATGCTGAATCAACAGCTCAGGAGTTTCACTAGAGCTATTCAACTAAGAACTCAGGGAAGCACTTCAAGAACACATTTAAGTTAGTGCCACCTAAGACATACTAGCACGGTGCAGCCTCACCTTGAATATTGTGTGCAGTTTTGGGTGCCACAATATAAGAAAGATATTAAGCTGTTAGAGAGCGTCCAAAGGAGGGAAACAAAAATGGTGAAAGGCCTTGAGGGGAAGCTGTATGAGGAGCAGCTGAGGTCACTTGGTCTGTTCAGCCTGGAGCAGATTGAGGGGAGACCTCATTGCAGTCTGCAACTTCCTCGTGAGGGAAGGAAGAGGGACAGGCACTGATCTCTTCTCTGTGGTGACCTGAGGGAACGTCCTGAAGTTGTGTCACGGAATGTTTATTTAGGATATTAGAAAAAGGTTCTTCACCCAGAGGGTGGTTGGGCACTGGAACAGGCTCCCCAGGGAAGTGGTCACAGCACCAAGCCTAAGAGAGTTCAAGAGGCATTTGGACAATGCTCTCAGGCACATGGTGTGACTCTTGGGGATGGTCCTGTGCAGGGCTAAGAGTTGGACTCAATGATCCTTCTGGGTCCCTTCCAACTCAGCATATTCTGTGATTCTCATGCTGTGTTTCAAGTACAAGAAAGCACACCTGGAAGCTAACTTTTGACTGGTAAGGCACACATGCACAGAGCTGCTGCTTCCAGCTGCTCTGGAAAGCAACAAGAATGGAGTTCCCTTGGAGGAACTATGCCAGAGCTTGCAGTGTGAGCTTCAGCAGTTCACTCTGAAAAGCAGTTCAAGAGCACTGCATTCAAAAAGTTGTTCAGAGCATATTCACTATCATAAATTCAGAGAGGTTTTTGTCAATCATACTTCAAAAGGAATCTCAAATATCATCAGTGTGTCCTTTTTCCCCCTGTACACTTACACTTCAGTATGCACTACAGAAATTTAAGGAAGATTGAAATGTAAGCATATTGTCTTGGCTTGATGAAGTAGATTCTTTGAGAAAAGTCTGAAGGTAGCTTCCAAAAGACATTCTTGAAAAAATATAGGTTTTCCTCTAATAAAACTAACTTGTTAATTGTTAAAACCTCTATAATCTTCCTTTAGAATTTCAGAATGCCAGATTTGTGTTTTCTAGAAAAAACAAATATTTGCATGGTCATTTTTTACAGCCAGGAAGAATGACTTAAGATTCACACTCGCTAAAACCAGAACTCCACCCAAATAGTTTTACTGCTCAATAGTAAGGAAAGTTAACTTGTGATAGAGAAATGTAGAAACAAATGGTATCTGCAAAGCAAAACCAAATCACCAGGCTCATGGCAGGCTGCACCCAACACTCTTATGGAATCTGTATATGTTGCAGGCATCTGTCTTCACATCAAGACAAGTTCTGATGCTGATAGCTCAGGGAATTTATCCTTCTCAAAACAACTTCTTTTGCCTTGTTAGCCAGTCATATAGTACTACAGTGAAAATTCACATGAACGCCCTTAAATTCTTTTAGGTATTAGCACAGACAGAATGAACATAGAAGCCTTGTTTGAGTAACGCTCCTATGAAATTCTTGACACAGAAAAGGTTTAAGCTTTTAAATAAAGCATTTGAGGTAAGCACTGCCTTCTACCGCTTCTCAGTGCCTCGCTGAATGAAGTTTCAACAGAATGAAGTTTCAATAGAGTAAAAATACCAAAATACACTATCCTTCACATTTTGTGCTAATAAAACAGCTTATAACAATGAAGGATGCAGGAAACAAGTGCTCCAGCAAGTGCAAGCACATTTACATCAAAGGCCACAGCACAAATGGTGCAAACACATAGGACCGAATGCAGAGCATTAACAAGACACATCATGAAGCAGGTACCACCAAGTTCTCCATCTCCTCTTCACAAATACAGGCAAGTGTTCTCTCTCCCCACAGGCAGACTGCATCAACACACCAGCCAAATGGAACCTAATAAAATAGGAGCATGTTGGATTTTGCATTTCAAAAATTTCCTTTTATTCCTCTAAGGAATCATCCAGCTGTTACAAACTTCTTTAATGAAATCTGACTTGGCAAAGTAAGTTCATTTTATGACTTCATTCATTTTATGACTTCGCCATCTGTTTTACCACCCAATTAGAAATGCATAAGTATTTTTTTGTAGTATTATTGTGAGAGCAGTACTTCTATAACCGTATTTTGTTCTGGTAACATCTCCTCCTGTTTATATTCTATGCAGAGCAAATTTCTCCTCCTAAAATCATAATGTTTTTCTGTCTTATTCAGGGAGCAAGGATTTCATATCATGACTCACAAAAATTTGTAACTAACCTTTTGAGTAGGTGACTCAAGGACACGAGCGGTTACACACCTGATGTTGCAGAGTAATACAGCATTCACAAAGTTGAAACACTGTTAGTCGATCCCTCCCCGTTTCCAGATGCAATTTATTCTAAAACTATTAGAGTTATGATTTGAAAAATTGACAGTTAATCTAATAGACCTAAAAGACCCAACTGAGCAATTAATTGTCTTTTAGTTCAATATATGCTTGCCAGTTGAATGATATATAGTAGACTTTCATGGGTATTTCACACATTATAGGCATAAAACATGCAATGGCTAGAAACAGAGGGCATTCAGTTCGTTAACTCAGTACGAAATTATTAATATTCAGGTTGATTTATCAATTTCCACATTAAGTGCCAGAGCAAGGTGGTTTTGATCTTGCCCTGCTTAACATACTGATTATACTTTTCTTGCAGTACCACAGAAGATATTTTCAAGTTGAATGTTCTAAATTGTAAAGCAGTAACTTTCAAAAATTGCGTTTTGCTCCTGTTTGAATACTTACAGCTCTTATACTGCACATGGTAATTCAGAACACTGAAGAACATTGTTAAATGACTTAATGTGTGTAAGTTTCAAATTTTAACAGAACAAGCTATCTAAGAAAAGTTATTTACACATAACTGTATGTTAAAATCACGGATCGATTTTGGAACACAGAAGCAAGCACAATATTCATTTCAGACTATATGGTACCAAGTAAAGCAGCTATTAAAAACTTTGGATAAACAACCTAAAAATCAGTTTTGTAATACTACTCCAAAGGGAAAGAGTCTTGGAAAAGGCACCATTAGGGATTGTGTACTATTACACATCACTAGATGGGTCTCTCCAGTGTGTCTCTCTTCCCATGTCCTGACAGGCAACATAAAAGCTAAAGGCATTCCAGCAGTGGTCACAGACAAAATCCAGTTTATTTTAAAGGCCAGTCTCCCCAGGGAAGAACTACTATAGAAGTCTGTCTATGGTGAAATCCAATATCTTTATCAACATTTAATTGATTTAATTCCACACATGTTGCAATGCTAAACACTACCAAGTGCGAGCTGTACACACAACCCTTTGAATTCCAGTGAGAAGTATGTGACCTAATACCTACAAAACCTTCACTACTGCTGACTTATGAAAACATTTAATTTCCAGCTGGTCACTTGCAAGCTTTCAATTGAGTTGCAGCATCAGTTCACGAGAGATGGAAGTTAATTTTACAGCTTTTATCCTTGAGGGGTTTATTTCTTTTACCTTAATGCACCGACAGTCAGAGTCCTGCATAAAGACTGGAGAAGTTAGTGTTGTTACAAGCCATTCCTGTTGGTCGCAGATAACAGCATGAATGATCTTAAGTCTGTTGAGAAATGGAAATTATGTTCCTGAAAATATCTCCGTCAAACTATTGATCATCTAACTACATCATTCTAACTGGGTTAGTTATGGCCATTTCAGTATTTTATCATATTGTATTTCATGGTTCATATTTTCTTAAAAGAAATCCTAGAATTTGGCTACAAGATTGTTTCAGTTTCTCCTCACAGAAACATATTTTCCTCCCATATTCGTAAAAGAAGTCTTTTCTCCTAAAACTGTAGTAAAATCTATTAGAAAGATTACAACATAAAATATAAAACTTCACTCCTCAAACAATGGATTGTTTTCTTCAAATTTTCCAAGCCACACTTAAGATCACTAGAAACAATTTGCTTTTGCAATGCTCTTCAAAATACTCCAGTCTGAAAAAACTCAAATTCTGCATGTTATAAACATCGTCTCATTCCTAACTCATACATCTTGCAGAGAATAATTGTGTTAGCCTATTTCATTCCTCTATCTGCTTTGACTGCAAGACAGAAAATACAACAGATATAGCTTAACTTTGATTTAACTTTAACAGAAATATACTCTTTTACTAGAAAAATTCAACATGTGCCAAATCAGGTTACCTAAAAAGATCAACTTTCCCAATAAGATCCAATGGAAAACATTAAAGAGACAGGGACAATAAAGAAGTTTCTCAAAAATCAAGACCTTCTAAGGCTTCTAAATTATTCCAAAACCAAACATTTTGTATCTCACTCTGGTTCTTGGGCAAAGAGGAGCTGAGAAATTCTAGCATTTTTGTGAGCAGTTTCACTATAAAACCTTTCTTTTAAGTGTAATTGTAACTGTAAACCCCATCAGTAAATTAATAACTACATGCCCAAAGTTAATGATTGTCAGGGAGACAGTTACATGGGAGTATATATACAGGCTTTCCTAAAATATTTCGTAGATCAGCTACTGGCCTCTTGAACACCATCAATCTAAAAACTATAACCTCCCACTCTCTGAACACAGGAAAAACCAGTTGGCAATGCTTGCAGTGGGATTTCTTAACAAAGCACAGAGACATTTAAGATATGCAATCTATATTGGTCAAAAGTGAGTATTTTCCCCTCACAGCAGAAGCTGAAATCATGACTTGAAATCCAAGTTATTATCAAAACAAGATGTAAGAAAGAGGACAGAGACATAGCTTGAATTAAGATTTGGAATTTAACTTCTTTAAGTCCAAATGGCAGCAACAGCTCCTGTTTAACTATTGTTACACAATCACACCTGAGACAAGTTTTTCACAGAAAAAATGCTGCACCTTGAAAAAACACTTGGTTAATTCTCTTTAATATTTCTGAAGGAAATGCATCTGTATTTCTTCAATTATTTTTCTAAAAGCAGTCCTTTATGTTACACTACCATGGCTAGGCTTCACGAATGAAGATTTGGGAAGTGCTCTATCCACATTTGTTACAAGCACGCTGGTGGCTAGTAAGGTGTCAATACGAGATAGACACGTCCGGTTGCAAAAGGCATAGCAGAAAGACTCCTTAGGTGGTATATTCTGCAAGGCACGATTCTTTCTGCATTGTCTTTTCTCCTCAAGAGTGATCCTGCGTGCGTTCTCAAAGGAAGCAGCAGCGTTATAGATGGTGTGTCTCCAGGCCTCCCGATTTGAGGCCAGAGTAGACCAATTATGTTGATCAATGTGGCCAAGCCTGAGATGTTGTTTCTAGGAGTCCTTTTATCTCTTCTTCGCGGCTCCTCTCTTGTGGCAGCCGGTGGCAAGTTCACCATAAACCTGGATCTTAGGGAGGCGGTGGTCCTTCATCCTTGAGATGTGTCCTGCCCAACACAGCTGTGTTCTCAGCAACATGGCCTCAATACTTGTGACTGCTGTTTGTTCTAGAACAGATGTATTGGTCACAAACTGACCAGTGGATGTTTAGGATTGTACGGAGATAGCGTTGATGGAAGGGTTCTAAGAATCGCACGTGGTGGCGGTAGATGACCCATGATTCAGATCCATATAAGAGAGTAGACAGCACTATGGCTTTGTAAACACTGATCTTGGTACTTTTCTTCAAGTGTTTATTACGCCATACTCTTTTATGGAGTTTCCCAAAAGCACTATATGCCTTTGCTAACCTGTTGTCTGTCTCTCCGTCGATCTTACCATCTGAGGAGATGAGGCTACCTAGGTAATTAAACTGCTGGACTGATTTGAGCTCTGATTCGCCAATGGTGATATGGGGATGATGGAAGACTTCCTGAGGTGGTGGCTGATAGAGAACTTCTGTCTTCTTCAAGCTGACTTCCAGCCCAAAGAGCTCAGCAGCGTCTGCAAAGCAGGATGTTAAACGCTGCAGAGCTGCTTCTGTGTGAGCGACAAGGGTGGCGTCATCAGCATAAAGCAGCTCCCGGACAAGATGATTTAAGGTCTTAGTATGGGCCTTTAGTCGCCTTAGGTTGAATAGGCTTCCATCAGTACGATATCGAATGTAGATACCGTCCTGACCATCTAGGTCTGCCGTGGCCCTTTGGAGCATCATGCTGAAAAAGACTGTGAATAGGGTTGGTGCGAGAACGCAGCCTTGTTTCACACCATTGGTTATTAGAAAGGGCTCAGAAAGTGCATTGCCATATCTGACTTGGCTGTGCTGATCCTTTATGAAGTGAGATGATCATTTTAAGGAACTTAGGGGGACATCCTAAACGTTCCAAAATTTGCCATAGACCTTTTCCGCTCACAGTATCGAAAGCTTTGGTGAGGTCAACAAAGGGTACATAGAGACCTTTATTCTGTTCCCTACACTTCTCTTGCAGTTGTCTGAGAACAAATACCATGTCTGTGGTACTCCTGTTGGCTCTGAAATCACACTGACTTTCAGGTAGAATTCCTTCTGCTATAGTGGGTATTAATCTGTTTAAAAGTATTCTTGCCAGGATTTTGCCAGCAATGGAGAGCAGAGTAATACCACGGTAATTTGAGCAGTCTGATTTAACTCCTTTCTTCTTATACAAGGTGATGATGACTGCATCACGAAGGTCTGAAGGTAGTTCGCCTAGTTCCCAACAGCGCACCACAAACTTGGGAAATTTAACATGGAGTGCAAGGCCCCCATGTTTCCAGACTTCAGGTGGGATTCCATCAACCCCAGCTGCCTTGCCAATTTTCACCTGCTGTATGGCCTTAAGAGTTTCACCCAAAGTGGGGGCAATATCCAATTCATTCTTCACCGGTTGTTGTGAGATGGACTGAATTGCTGAGTCTTGAACTACACGGTTGGTACTGAAGAGAGTCTGAAAGT